TTCAAATTAAAAAACAAATCAATATTTTGTTAGTTATATGCATCAAAATACCTTTATTTTTTTTTATGTAAAAAATCAATCATACTGGTTAGGGCTGGGAAAATAGACTATACCATTTGCAAAACCATGATCCAAATCGGACTGCATATTTTGGTCCGGCCTGTATACCGATAAGTATGGTCTGGTCCGGTCCATTGTCTGTATTATATGATATTTTGATTTCTTGGTCTTGTCTAGACCGCAGGTTACTGGACCAAGCTGTGGACCCAGCCGACTTCTCAATACGTGTTATCAGCCCACTCGACCACTCTCCCAACTCCCACAATGATACCCAAGTCTTAGTCTTAATTTTGAGAATCTCTCTCCCTCCTTCATTGACAACCACATTTCTTCAGAGAGTAGAGATGATCGTGTCTCCAAATGACATTATGTAAAAGTATGACGTTATGGTGCAAGTTGAGATACTTTGACTTTGTATCTTTATTATTTACTGAGATTTTTTATGTCAAAATTATTCATGCATGTTGGATTCATGTTTTAAGAAAAAAAAGTTATTGGTTATTGGTTCATTTAAAAAAAAAAAAACTCATTGTCCACTAATCAAATTGTTCATTTTGGTTTAGTGTAGTCTATTTGTACCGGACCATATATGTGATTTGACATGTGATCTATACTCCAACCTATCAATCTGAACCGTAAACCGTATACCAAACCGCATCGTTTTCCGCACTAATACTAGCCATACCAGGACATTTCAACCAATATTGAAACACATATCGATTGAAACCCGTTAAACCAGCCCGCATGTTACCGGTTTAACATAGGGATGGCAACAAAACCCGAACCCACGGGTACCCACCCGACCTAACCCGGCCAACGCGGGTAAAATCCGTGTTGACGGGTTTTGGGCCGGGTTTGGGTTTAAACCCATTCACTATTCATCGGGTTGGGTTGGGTTTGGGTTTAGGTAAACCCGGCCCGTGGGTACCCGCCCACTCATATAATTAATTTTTTCGGTATATTTAATATTCTAAACAACTAATCTTATTTATGTTTGTGGAGACATGTCTAATTTTTTCTTTTTAATTGTGTAGAATGAAGTTGATGTTATGGAGTGGAGAGTAAAGAAACTTAATTGAAAGGAAGAAGCTTTCAATTAAACATGTTATTTATGAATAATTTGTGATTTGCTTCAATTTTCTTGAGTTTTCTAGATTGGTGTTGAACAATTTGTATAGTTTATTTGTGATTTGCTTGAATTTTCTAGAATGGTGTTTTATATATGGATAATTTGTATTGAGAGATTGATATTTGACTTTAATTTTGATAAGAACTTGTAATTGTAAATTTTTTACGACAAAACCCGTGGGTACCCATGAACCCGCGGATACCCAACGGGTTGGGTTGGGTTTGAGTTTTTCAAACCCAGTGGATTTTACCCCGGGTTTTTTTCAAAGATAAACCCATGGGTTTGGGTTTGGGTTTGGCAAAACCCGACCCATTGCCATCCCTAGTTTAACAACCATGATAAAAACGGAAAAAGATATAACACTACAAAATAAAAGCCACATATTTATATCCCCCGGGACTTCTCCGTATTCACGAAAACAGCCTCCAAAAACCTCTTTAAATCCCTCTCTCACGGACTCCTGCTGAAAGACAAGCCCTCTACTTTGTCAGATCGTCTCTTCTCCCCCTCTTCTCCACCCAGTAGATCCCGCTTGATTCAAGTCTTCTCCTTCCGAGGCTGTAAGCCATGGCGGGATTCTCTGCCGCCGTGAAGCCCACTCCGATACTGAAAGATGAGCTCGACATCGTCATACCCACAATCCGAAACCTCGATTTCTTGGAGATGTGGAGGCCCTTCTTCGAGGGTTACCATCTGATCATTGTTCAAGATGGTGACCCTTCCAAGACCATCAAAGTCCCCGAAGGGTTCGATTACGAGCTCTACAACAGGAACGACATCAACAGGATTCTGGGTCCTAAAGCTTCTTGCATTTCATTCAAGGATTCTGCTTGCAGATGCTTCGGGTTCATGGTGTCCAAGAAGAAGTACATCTACACCATCGATGACGATTGCTTTGTAAGTCACCCCGTTTTCTCAGATCTTTCTTCCGTGTGTTTTATTTGGTTGTAATGGTTGTTTGATCTACTCTGCTTGGACTTCCGTTTGACTTGGCCGGGAATAGTTAGCATTAGAGTTGGAACTTTTGGGCGTTCGATTTAGATCGTAGATGTGTTTTCTTAATGTTGAGTAATGAGTACTTGATTGTCAGATGGTTGCTGGAGTTGTGTAGATCTCGGGTTATGATGCCCTCTTTTCCTCTGTTAGTGAATTTGGGTTATCTGATTAAGATTATTCGTTTCACTTTGCAATTCATCCAGATCTGCAATAAGGTCCTCTCTGCAGGGACAATGCTGCCAAGTTTCTGTGTCTTACTCAGATCCTTGGCCAGTCCTTGTTTGTAGATTGGGGAGGACCTGATATCAACTATGGCATCTCAGAAAGCCAGTGCTTTTATATTCAATGGGCACTGATGCTCGCTATGATGTCTACATTCCCTACTGATCTCCTCGGCCTAATGGGTTGCCGGTCATGTTTTCTCGACAGCTATTCTTATGTTGTTTGTTTGTGGTTATAAATTATAGGTAGCCAAGGATCCAACTGGGGCGCAGATCAATGCACTGGAGCAGCACATCAAGAACCTGCTATCCCCATCCACCCCACACTTCTTCAACACACTCTATGATCCATACAGAGAAGGTGCTGACTTTGTTCGTGGGTATCCTTTCAGTCTCCGTGAGGGCGTTGCGACAGCGGTTTCTCATGGCCTGTGGATGAACATCCCTGATTATGATGCTCCCACTCAGCTGGTTAAGCCACTTGAGAGGAACACCAGGTTGCTTTTCACCCCCAACCAACCCGATTCAAGAACGATGATGAACTCATATTTTTCATCCTCAGTTTTGCTAACTTGTGTCAGTTGTTGACATTTGCAGGTATGTTGATGCTGTGATGACAATCCCCAAGGGAACCTTGTTCCCAATGTGCGGGATGAACCTTGCATTCAACCGTGAATTGGTCGGACCGGCATTGTACTTTGGACTCATGGGAGATGGTCAGCCGATTGGTCGATACGACGACATGTGGGCTGGGTGGTGTGTGAAGGTAAGAAGAGAGACAAGTCATTTTTACTTTGGGTTACAACCTCTTGAGGATATAATAAGCTAACCTAGGTACAAATTTTTTGTTATGATAAGGTGATCTGCGACCATATGGGATGGGGAATCAAGACCGGGTTGCCATACATCTGGCACAGCAAGGCCAGCAACCCATTCGTGAACCTGAAAAAGGAGTACAAGGGTATTTTCTGGCAGGAGGAGATCATCCCATTCTTCCAATCAGTGAAGATCTCCAAGGATGCCACCTCGGTGCAGAAATGCTACATCGAGCTGTCCAAGGAAGTGAAGGAGAAGCTGGGTAAGGTTGATCCTTACTTTGACAAGCTTGCCGATGCCATGGTTACCTGGATCGAAGCTTGGGACGAGCTGAACCCTTCTTCAGCTGAGAAGACAGCCGCTAATGGCACAGCCAAAGCCAAGTAGAAGCAGAAGTTGGGTTTTGTTAGGCCACAGAGGGACCAGAGAAGAGTTTACTTTTGCTGATGAGAGAATTCGGTAGTAGTAAAAGCTTGGTAGTTGCAGTGTAGGTGGTCTATTGAGATTGAGATGAGCCCACAATATTTACTTTCTATAGTGTTATTGATTATTGCTACTGTTGTCATATTTACTGCTACTGCATAATGTTACAGGTTTGAGTGAATTCATTTTTGAGTGGATTCATTGTCATCATTATTTATGATATAATATTGAGTTGTATTGTATTGCTGTGAATCTTATGGCTTGAAGAAGTTGTTGCAGAAGAGTGGATCGATACTCCACATAGTCAAGTCTCCCATTTTTGTGTTGGAATTTTTGTTGGGGAAGATGGGTGTAATGATGTTTTTAGTGTTTGAAAATTTGGGGTTTGAAAATTTGGAAGAGTAAGGATGGCCGGCAGAATCAAGGCGGAGCAATTTGAAATTTGGAAAAATGTTGGACGTGGAAAAGGTCAAAAGTTTAGGAGCCCCACTCGAATCGTAATTAATTTTCAAATGACGTCTGTTGTTTGTTTGTTTGTTTACTACTGGGGTTTTTAGGTGGATCTTTGCGGCCCGCCGGACTTTTGAATCTTCTAATTCTGAAGACAAGACTTGGGATGGGAACAGTAGCGTAGCTAGGTTCGAGTTTAGTGGGTACCATTTATGAAAAAAATTTATAATATTGTATTCAATTATTAAGTAATTTTTCTTAAAAACATTCAGTCAAGTAGTCATTCATCAAACCATTAGTTATTAGATTTGTACCTTATATTTTGTGTAACTCAGGGGTCATTTGGTTTTGGTGATAGTTAAATCGATGTATTGTTATCAATGCATGCACAATAATATACATGTATATAAGAAAATTGGTGTATTGTAGTTTACATTGTTTGGTTTCTGTGATAGTTCTTATAGTATTTAAATAAATTATATTACTTTTTGAGTGAAATGTCACTTTTAGCCTTTATTTTTAATAGGCTAAATTACATGTTTGGTCACTTGAATTATACAAATCTTTCACGTTTGTCACTCGAATTACTTTTCTTTCTTATTCGCCACTAACTTTACGAATCATTTCACCGTTAGTCACCGGCCATTACACTCCGTTAAATTTGTCCTACATGGCAGTCAACTTTAAAGTTTGACCGTTAACTAGATGGCGTGGAAATTAAAAATAATAATTTATTTTTCCATCTCATCACTCCACTTACTTTATCAATATAATTTATCATATTACTTATTTCATACAAATTATTAAATTAAAAAAAAATAATTATCAGGAGGAACAAATTGCATATGCAACATAGGTTCCTTTGTCTAGGAAGATGCTTGAAATCTCTCCTGAAGCATCGGTGGCAGGAAGAAAGCTGGGTGAGGAAAGGATGCCGACTTTGGATTCCGACGTAGAATCCTCCCACCACGCTTCCTCTTTAACCAAAAAACTTGTGGTCCATTCCGTCCGATCTGCAACGTCGATTCCTCTTTCATCGCCTGCCTCTGATGAAAGCCTAGGTTGGGGTTCTTGCGATGGGGGGTTTTGGAATATTTGTGATATGTTTGAAGATGGCGTTCCGGGCCGGTAATATGGATATTGATTCAGTATGTGAATGTCTGTTTGTTTGTTGCAGACGATCGCTCCAGCATTGAAAGCGGAGGAATCATCCCTTACGAAGATCCACTGATCCAATGAAGCCCCTGCTGCGATTGACGGTGAGAGATGGCGGAGATTTGATCCATCGTTACTTCTATCTCCCGGTTGTCCATTCCTCTTATGTTTTCCGTCAACGCCATTAAAAGCCCAAAGTTTAACAAGTTCAAATCCCTGCTGCAAAGAGAAGGAAATGGGTTGGGGAATTTCGATTTACACGGGGACGAGAAAAGGCGGAGGGAGTTCTTGGCAGCTATGATGGAGCTTTTGGCGATGGCCACACGGCGGAGGGAGTTCTTGGCAGCCATTATGTTTCTCGTACTATCCGATTCCCCCTTGGGAAGAGGAAGAGCCGGAGGCGAGCTGATGATTAGGGGGTTTGTAACAACCCGGTGGAAGACAGCTGGCTGTTGACGTGGACAGAAGCTCAAGAGTATAAATAGAGTCCTTCAACCGTGATTTGGCATTCTTTGACCAATCTGTTATTCTGTAGCAACTTTACCAAATTAGTTAGCTTCAATAAAAGAGACTCTCTGTTCTTCCCCACTTTCCCTTTCTTCACCATCGCCATCTCCATTTCGCCAGATTTCCCAAACACGATCCTTACAAGTGGTATTCAGAGCCTTTGATCTGGCAATGGCTTCTAACACTTCTCGTATCATTGATTTGGAGGCGCAAATGGCGTCTGTGCAGCTCCAATTGGATTCTCACCACCAGGATTTGAAGACCGCCATTGCGGAGCTCGCTGCCTCAACGAAAGACAACATTGATGCTCTGGCGGCATCCTTCGCCCGGAGTCGCGAGAAGTCTCCGATCGGTTCGCCGTCGCACTCGCAGGATCCCGTTGCCAATCAGCACAACTTTCGCCAGCAGCAGCATCGTCGGCCATCGATCCTGGATCACTATCCCCGTTTGGAGTTTTCCTACTTCTCTGGTTCAGATCCACATGTGTGGGTGAGCAAGTGCAACAAGCTCTTCCATCTTTACTCGATTCCTCAGGAGCAGAAGGTCGATCTGGTCTCGTACTATCTGGAAGGTCGGGCGTATACGTGGTTTGAGGGATGGTCGTTTCGTCAACGAGCTACTTCATCGTTTTGGCCACCGCGAACAGCTGAATGTGGTTGCCGCGTTCAATAAGCTGCGGCAGACATCCTCCGTTGCTCGTTACCAGGAAGATTTCGAAGACCTCCGTTCGCGTCTGCTTCGCCTAAATCCGGAGCTCAACGAAAACTACTTTATCATGAGTTTTCTGGGGGGCTTAGATGACAAAATCCGGAGCCCACCGACCTTGGCCTGCGCGTTTTACCAAGCTCGACTGGAGGAATCCACCATAGAAGCTCGCAAGAAGAAGACGCGTTCTATTCCTCTCACTCGATGGTCTGCTGCTCCTTCTAATTCATCGGGCACCGCTTCTCCGAGAGAGCAGACTAGTCTTTCTCCGTCGGCAGGGGAAAGGAGTCACATTCCTAGGGGGCAGGGCCTCTGTTACAAGTGTGGCGATAAATATTTCCATGGCCACATTTGTTCCAAGAAGAAGCAGTTACACGCAATGCAGGCAGAAGAGTCTTGCTGTTCCAGTGAAAAGGATGAACAAGAGGAGGTGTATCAGGATGCTGAGTAGGAGGTTTCGTTACAAGCCATGGGGTCTGGATTTGCTGGAAACTCGCTTCTCATTCCAGCAACAGCTGGCAAGCAGGAGGTCACAGTCCTCATTGACACAGGTAGTTCCCATACTTTTCTAAACTCCACTAGGGCTGAAGAACTGAATTGTAGGACTGAGAGTATAGCCCCTATGCGTGTCAAAGTAGCTAGCGGATATACATTGTTGAGTGATTCAGTTTGCAAGGGTTTTTGCTGGAAGATGCAAGGACATGAGTTCGGATTTGATGTTCGTACCTTGGATTTACCTGCTCATGATCTTGTGTTGGGTTGGGATTGGTTGGAAACGATTAGTCTTTTCCAAGTTGACTTGAAGAAGCGACAGTTGGCCTTTGAGTGGCACGGGAGGACTTTGACATTGCAGGGCCTCGCAAAGAAAGGGCAGTGTAAGCTTATGTCAGGCCGAGACTTCCAGCAGCTCTTGAAGAAACCTTCTGCCCATTTATTGGGAGCTGTCTTTTCCCTCGAAGCCATTACTACTCCCTCTCCTACACCTTCCTTCTTACAGCCTGTTCTCACCAAATTCTCTGATGTTTTTGCCACCCCTACTTCCCTTCCTCCTCCTCGAACCTTTGATCACACCATACCCCTGATTCCCAACACTAAACCAATAAACATCAGACCCTATCGTTTTCCTCATCACTATAAAGAAGTTGCTGAGAAATTGGTTGCTGAAATGCTACAATCCGAGTTCATTCAGGAGAGTCACAGCCCCTATGCCTCTCCTGTCCTGCTCATTGGTAAAAAGGACGGAACTTGGAGATTTTGTGTTGATTACCGTGAATTAAACTCAGCCACCATCAAGGATAAATTTCCGATTCCACACATTGAGGATTTGTTGGATGAATTGCACGGGGTTGTTTGGTTTTCTAAGCTGGATCTTAGGGCAGGGTATCATCAGGTGAGAATGCACCCTGCAGACTAGTTCAAGACCGCTTTCCAAACCCACCAAGGCCATTACGAGTTTCGAGTTATGCCCTTCGGATTGACTAATGCCCCTGCTACTTTTCCAGCATTAATGAATCATGTCTTTGGACCGTATATGAGGAAGTTTATTTTGGTGTTCTTCGATGATATATTGGTTTATAGCAAATCAGAGTCAGAAAATTTGCAGCATCTTGAGATTGCTTTACAATTACTCAGGGAACATCAGTTGTATGCCAAGGCCTCCAAGTGTTCTTTTGGCCAGCCTACCGTGGAATATTTGGGCCACGTTATTAGCAAGGATGGAGTCTCCACAGACAGTAACAAGGTTTCAGCAATGCAAACATGGCCTCGACCTACTTCAGTGAAAGGGTTGAGAGGGTTTTTGGGGCTCAAGGGCTATTATCGCAAATTTATCAGGAACTATGGAGTTATTAGCCGCCCCCTCACTGAGTTGTTAAAGAAGAATGGTTTCCATTGGTCAGAGGCTGCTGAAAACGCATTTGTCGCCCTCAAATCCGCTATGAGCCACGCTCCAGTATTGGGTTTACCTGATTTCACTCAACCTTTCACACTTGAAACTGACGCTAGTGGTTCGGGAGTGGGAGCTGTGCTCGCGCAGGGGGGTAGGCCATTAGCTTTTTACAGCAAGGCTCTGAGTCTAAGGAACCAAGGTTTGAGCACATATGAAAAAGAATATCTGGCTGTATTGATGGCAGTGGAACACTGGAGACACTACTTAGAAGGAAGACAGTTTACAATTGTCACGGATCATGAGAGTTTGAAGTTCTTGATGGGGCAGAAGGTCCACACAGCAATTCAGAAGAAGGGATTAGTTAAGCTCATGGGATTAGACTTTCAAATTAAATACAGGAAAGGGCGCTACAATGGGACAGCAGATGCTCTCTCCCAGGTATTTGAAGATGGAATTGACGGCAGTACTTGCAATGCTTTGTCGTCCGTGCTTCCTGAATGGCTTGTCGAAATCGAGCAGTCTTATGAGAATGATGTTGATGTGGCTGCTTTGATAACTGCTGCTGCTGTAAATTCATCTGGTCCCTCATTATGGGCATACTCTGAAGGAATTCTCCGCTACAAAGGGGCTATAGTGGTGGGAGCAACAGGGTACTTACGTCACAAGCTTCTCCGCCTTTTCCACTTTTCCCCAGTGGGTGGACATTCAGGAGTTCAGGGAACTTACCAGCGACTTAAATCATACTTTTACTGGCAGGGTATGAAGGCTGACGTGAAATAGTGGGTTTCTCAGTGCGAAGTATGCCAGAGATGCAAAGCGGAAACTGTGGCTTCACCTGGATTGCTCCAACCTCTCCCGATTCCAACACGAGCGTGGCGTGACATAAGCATGGACTTTGTGGAGGGTCTTCCTACTTCTAAGGGGAAACAGGTTCTGTTTGTGGTGGTAGATAGATTAACCAAGTCAGCTCACTTCTTTGCTCTTTCCCATCCATATACAGCTGCTGAAGTGGCCGTTGTCTTCTTCAATGCGGTGTTCAAGTACCATGGCATGCCTTCTACAATTGTGTGCGACAGGGATGCTACCTTTACAAGCATATTTTGGACTGAATTTTTTCACCTACAGCACACTGATCTACACTACTCAACGGCCTACCATCCACAAACAGATGGGCAGACAGAACGTGTCAACAGGTGTTTGGAGGACTATTTGTGTTGTATGACCTTTCATCGTCCCCAGGATTGGGTTGATTGGTTAGCTCTGGCCGAGTGGTGCTATAATACCCATTTTCACATCAGCTTGCAAATGTCCCCATTTGAAGCTCTCTATGGGTTTCCTCCCTCGTTCTTCGGTTTAGGTGCAGTTCTGCCCACCACAGTGGGAGCAGTGGAAGACAGGGTGACCAAGCAGCACTTGGTGACTCAATTGCTCACTTATAATATCACCAAGGCGCAAAATTGGCAGAAGCAGTTGCAGATCGAAGACGGTCTGAAAGGGAGCTCCGGGTTAACGATTGGGCCTATCTTCGCCTACAACCGTACCGCCAAGGCTCTGTTGAGGGAAGGCAGGGGAATAAATTGGATGCACGATACTTCGGACCCTATAGAGTGATTGCTAGAGTCGGAGCAGTGGCTTACAAACTTGCTCTACCTGCGGAATCGAAGATTCATCCAGTATTCCATGTGTCACAGCTCAAACTCTGCCGTTCGATAGTGCCGCCAGCCGCTTCCCAGCTCCCAGATACTGATGACAGTGGGTCTCTCAAGCTAGCTCCAGCTCATATTCTGGCCAGGCGTTTCGTCAACAAAGACAACAGGGTTGTGACTCAAGTTCTCATTCAGTGGACACATCAATCACCCGAAGACGCTACATGGGAAGACCTGGAAAAATTCAAGCAGCATTTCCCCGCCTATCCAGCTTGAGGACAAGCTGCTTTTGAAGAGAAGGGGTTTGTAACAACCCAGTGGAAGACAGCTGGCTGTTGACGTGGACAGAAGCTCAAGAGTATAAATAGAGTCCTTCAACTGTGATTTGACATTCTTTGACCAATCTGTTATTCTGTAGCAACTTTACCAAATTAGTTAGCTTCAATAAAAGAGACTCTCTGTTCTTCCCCACTTTCCCTTTCTTCACCATCGCCATCTCCATTTTGCCAGATTTCCCAAACACGATCCTTACAGGGTTCTGATTCAGCGTGCCACGGTCGTACTCCATCATGTTCTCGACGTCCTCCTTCGTAGACACGGAGATCAGCGCGTGGGAGGAGAAGTTTGTCGATCGGTGGACGGCGACCATCTCGATCTCTCTGCCGACGTAGTGGAGGAGATGCCCGCTGATAATTATTTTTGTAATTTAATTTATTTTTATTTAATAAATAGTATGATAAATCATGTAGACAAAGGAAGTGGAATGATGAGGTGCATAAATATTTTTTTTTTAATTCCACGTCATCTAGTTAACGGTCAACTTTAAAGTTGACTACCACATAGTGACATAGGACAAATTTAACAAAGTGTAACGGCCGGTGACTAATGGTGAAACGATTCATAAAGTTAGTGGCGGATAAGAAAGAAAAGTAATTCGGATGACAAATGTGAAAGATTTGTATAATTCAAGTGAGTAAACGTGTAATTTACCTGTTTTTAATATAAAAAAGCAACACACATAAAAAGGTAGACATTTTTGGAAGAAGAAGAAAACACAACAATCTCAATGAAAACTTGAGATTTTTAACTATCACTCATTTTGAGTGATAGTTTGTGTCAAATCAAGCAAACAATGCATGTATTGTTTGCGCAGAAAATTCATAAAAATGATGTATTGTTGACATTACATGCATTGTAACTATCCCAACCAAACTATCACCAAAACCAAACGACCCCTCATAATTGAAAAGTGACATTTCAATAACTAGCTCAAATAAATAGTTCTCAAATGACAAAGAAGTTGTATATTAATAGGAAAATTTTGTTGAACTAAGAGCTTTTTAGATATAGCTGGAGGTTTTTGTACACATATTTAGTAGGATTAGAAATTTTTTACAATATTTTACCAATATTTCTTTTACAATAAGGACTATAAATTTGTGGATTTTCAATGATATATGATCAATATCGTCTAATTTATTTGTATGTTTCATAATACCAGGACAATTAAATTTCATATGAATGAGATAATCTTATTATAGTGGTGGGTGGTAGGATTGGAAAAGTTATCTATTCAAGTTAAAACTAATAAAGAATTTTTTGAATCATAATTTTAATAATAAATTAAATATAAAATATCACACCATTAACATATTGGTACAAATTATTCACCAAATTTAGATTTGATTGCACATTAAAGTAGAGTTCCGTTCCGTGAAGTGTTTCAGTTGAATATAAAAGGAAGGAGAGTTCCAAGTAATGAATAATTGAAAACATTAAAGCCAGATATGGAAGTGGAAACCTAACCGACCGACACCCGACTGTACGATACAACGAAGGAAAAGGGGAAATGAGCAGTCAGAAACTGAAACCCCACGGCCCGCAATCCTATTTACCTTTCAGGGAAGAGAAAACGCAGGGGGGAATTCCAGCTTCACGCCAAGAGAGAGCTGTTTGTGTGGGTTTTGGGGCCCTTGTTGCTTGGGCAAATATTGCGCGAAAACGCAACACACGCGTCTTGTGCGCTGTCGGATTCGTTTTCTCCTCCTGACTAGTCTGTCTCGCCCTTTTGGTTGATATTGGCCACTAGATTTCGATCTATCACCATCTCTCTCTCGCCCGCCCAGCCCAGCCCAGGCAACAAATCATCTCCATCTCCTCACTCACGGGAGAAGTATGAATTCTCCACCCCACGCACCACCTCAAAAATATAATTATTGATGATGTGGAGGCAATGGGTGCATCTTAACATCAATGGATCGCAGGTACTATGCACAGGTCCTCTGTCCTCGATTCTTTATAATAACAAAAATACACATCTAATTCGACCACCGAAAATGTGAAAAGATTATTTTGACGATACAAATCAAGGTTGTCAACTTGGTTTAGTCCGTTGACCTGATCGAATAAGTGAGTGAAGGATCAATGGCTCGATCGTTCAGCGCAGATATATGGAAAAAAAATCACCATATTTTTCATACATATACGTTATATCAAATATCATCTAACATGTAACATTATACCAATAAATTTTCACTGGCCTGACAAATTTTCACTGGCTTGGGTCAATCCCCAGGTTGTCCCCCGAGTTAACAACCTTGATATTACATAACGATGGCAATATTTCTTTGTTCTAAAAAAAATGTTAAAATGCCAATATTGAATGTGTGAATTGGTTGAAAGCGAAAGTGAGATAATCGATATGATTTTTTCATGTCAATGTTGGAAAATGAGTTGACCCAAATTGGACTCAATCAAAACCCAACCCAAAACTAAAATTACTAAGAATGAATAATTCATTTAGATCAATCCAATAACATATGAATCATGTCTGCAATTACCCTCCACCCATTCTCATCCCTAATATCAATAGTCCCTACTTATCCCTAAAACAACAGAATAGCCGATTTCTTCCCAACCATATTATTTCACTTTTTGGATCGTTTGGTTTTGGTGATAGTTAAATCGATTTATTGTAATCAATGCATCCATAATACTATACATGTATATAAAATTGGCGTATTGTAGTTTACATAGTTTGGTTTCTGTGATAGTTATTGTAGTATTTAAATAAATTATAACTTTTTGGATGAAATATCACTTTTACCCTTTGTTTTTAATATAAAAAAGCAACACACATAAAAAGGTAGTGACATGTTTGAAAGAGAAAGAAAACACAATAATCTCTATCAAACAATCTTAACAATCTCAATCAAAATTTGAGATTTAACTCACTTATTTTGAGTGATATTTTGTGTCAAATCAAGCAAACAACGCATGTATTGTTTGGGCAGAAAATTCAAAAAGAGACGCATTATGAACATTACATGCATTGTAACTATCCCAATTAAACTATCACCAAAACCAAACAACCTTTATTTTACTTTCATCTAGTTTCAAGACAACAGGTCTCGTCGTTACAAAATGACCATGATGGCACCCTCGTTGAGTCGTTATGAGAAAAGTGACAAAATATTAGAAGGGTATTCAGCGCATTGCTTTGGGCAGAACCTGGAGTGTCTAATTTGTACTAAACTAATGAAAGAAGGACCGGCAGCAGCTACACAAGATTAGCAAGTACTGGAAAATCGAAGCTTCTTTCTTTCCCTTTGGCGTTTTAAATCTCGCCAATCTACAAGTGTCGGCAAACCAATAACTCACCTGTCCGGCTCCCAACTGCCAAGAAACCTCGTCTCCTCCACGAATCATCTGTAGCAATGCACGAAACACTTCCACCTGCCAATTAATTACCACCGCGACATTAGCCACCAATTAATGCCCTAATAATGGTTACATCAGTCACCAATAATAAATATTATAAAAATGACCACATTATGAACCACTAATAAAGCAGTAAAGATGTTTCCAAGAACGTGCTCAACCACATTCAAGAGCTTTACAGATCTAAAAGTCCTGCTGTCCCAATTTCTGCCCTTTTTTGTCAAGGCACAATTTGAGGAGGCTTCGTCGTGTTGACAGCGAGCCATGTGGAAAGTAGAAAGATTGACATAATAACAATATCTACTGTTTTCTGCATCGCATTACGATATCAGCATTCGTATGCAATCATGTTAAAAAAAAAAAATGGTGTCTGAGAGAGAGAATCTGGATCTGAGAAGAGAATAGAGAAAGGTTGCATGGGTTTGGTGGACGAGGTCCAACAACAGCATTTAAAGAAGTACGAAAACGAGGAGAAATTTTACAATGCTATATAGTATTGGTGCTATAGGATTTTGCCTTTATGGTACAACTTAAAATTGTACATTTACGTTATGGTACAACTTCAGATTGTACCTATACTTTTTGTACAAATTCCTTTATGGTACAACTTGAACTTGTACCTTTATGTGATGGTACAACTTCAAGTTGTAAAGTTGTACCATAACATAATGATACAAATTGCTTTATGGTACAACCTAAACTTATACATTTAATGTTATGGTACAACTTTAAGTTGTACATTAAAGCACCAATACTATATAGCATAGTTGAAGTGCTCCGAAAACGAGAGGAAAAAGGTAGCCTGCCTTCATTAACGTTTTTGTTACCTTTGAAATGATGGAGAGCCCCAAGTCTGTTCCCCCTCGACAAGTCCCACATGTAGACAGCTCCATCCCGTGTACCGACGATTCCATTGCCACCTGACGTGGCAACAGCTGCTGCCCTGCCATGAATAAAATATACATTATAATAAAAGCCAAATAATTTTATAAGTGACGTTGATCAAAATTACTGAATCCAGTACCCTGGATCCAGAGTGGTTCCCAAGATCAAGGTGTTTCTGGCCATTAAAGCTAGCCTCCAGCATCCAAGCGATCCATAGGTGGTCACTTGGCTTTGTTGCGACGAGAAGCCAGATGGCAATATCTTCACCGTCCTCCCAGGAGATGACTCTGTCAATGACAATTTTGTGGCTTCCATCATTCTCTTCACATGTTCCTCCAGGTTGTAGGACCTGGAGTGATGGGCTTCCCTTTTGGGCCAGCCAAACCGGCTGATGGGGTGGAACGCATAAATCGAAGTTCCTGGACCGGTGAATCTTGCAATGAAGGCCCGTTTCGAGATGTCCCTGAAACATTTAACAAGATACCAGAATGTAAGTCGACTTTAAGCAATGGACTTCGGGAGGTGGCACAAGAGGGAACTACTGAACATGTTTACATTCGTTGAAGGGTTCATACCAGAGAGTAAACTCCTCAAAGCCATCGTGGCCTACAACTAGAGATGAGTTTTGAGGAATGCTCTTCAACTCCACGATTTTAGGCGAATAGTAATCCTTTGTTGATATAGTGTGCTGGTCTTTCAAAGTGCTGCAAACAAGTGAAGCAGAAGAGCAATGAGTGTGCAATGATCAGAAAGGCTACCGGAAGTTGAAAAACTGAACACGAGACTAACAGTAAGAAATACGATATCAAGAAAAAAATAATCGCCACCTCCATGTTGTGTCCATGGTCCACAAATGGAGTCTACCACTTTCACCAGCAGCAACCAGATGATTAGGTCGCAGACAAGGATACATTCAACCACTTCATCTGTTCTTAGCTCCAATAACACCGAAACATATCCCAACTTGACTCTTAAAATCTTCACTGAGCTGCTACTACGGCTGTCTGCTTTACATGTAGAGCACAAACAATCAACCCTCCCTTCCCTGAGAACGTGTATGTGTGTCAATGTTATGTGGAAAACATGATTTGTATATTGGTCAACTTCAACGGATAAGGATGTAGAGATTTCAACCTGCAACAAGGCACTTTTATGCTGCCATGTAGAACAAGAAGCTGCCCATTTGGGGTCAGTTGAAAACTGGATCTTTCAGGTGGAACCTACCAAACGGAGCACAAGGGTAAACACTATCGACTTGATACCACAAGCAAAGAGCTTAATAATGTAAAATCAGAACTGGTGACAGAACTATGCAAATGAGATCTTACATTGCCAAAGATATGCACTGCAGGTGGCCAGCTGACAGTAGTATGACCAACAAAGATGGGCAACCTGTCCTTGATAACTTATAAAGAAACAGGGTCCCGTCTTTGTTCTGAAGACCACATAAGGCACAAATGTAGATTTCATTTTCTTGTGAGCTCAACCACAGGTGCAGAACAGGCAGCGGATGGATATAGCAGCCCACATACTCAGCAATTCCTTCTAAGTTAAAGTCGAGCTCAAAACTTCGATGGATGTTCAGGTCAGCATTAGCTCGAACTTCTTTACCACTTGATGACTCCAAACCCTTTTCATTGGAAGAAGATCTTACGGAACCATGGGCATCGACCACAGCATTTTGCTCCACTAATCTGTCCTTGCAATTAGTTTGGGTTTCTTCTGAAACTGGAACTGATGGAAGAAGCATGTTTGAAGCATGTTCGCCTTCAGTTGACACACATATAGGCAGATCATCCAACTTGGGTCTCCAACTCAAGGTGATTTCCTCCACTTGCAAAGTGTGGAGTTCCCCCCCAGTGCTGGTCCTATCCTCGAGAGCACCAATTGAAGGACTCACATTCAAAGCTTCAGAATCAAGCATAGAACTTTCTTCACAGCCTCCTTCATAGGTTCTGCATGTTGTGCTTTCTGATAGAGGAGAGCCATTGTTCGTTGCTTTAGAAGTAATCTTTCTTCTGGTATATACCTTCCGGGTGCCTGGAGTTGAGTTTTGACTCCCAGTTCCAGTCGGGCTGCCTACAATAGTAATGCATTCGGGGGATCGTACTGAGATTCCCAAATCCGACTTCCTTGCATCTCCATTTACAAGGTCATCACAACTGTGAGGAGGTCTTCCATCTTTTCCATCAGCAGATTGCTCACACTCAGCATTATCAGTGAGCAGCACAAGTTGTCGTCCCACCTCACATTGTTCATTCTCAAGACTGTCTAAAACGACATCATTAGTATGCTCTATTTTAGGAGAATGAACACCCGAAGTAGCTTTATTTCCCTCCCGAGCCTTGGTGCTAGAGACAAAATTTTGCACTGTGGCATTGGATTTCCTTTTCTTGTTCGAGGCTTTCTTAAGAAGAGGGATAGCTTGTGGAAGAAGAAGTGTCATCATTGACTTGTCTATTTCTTGACCAACTGAATCAGAGTCAAACTTTTCAGAGCTTCCATTTGAACTGCCTGAAGCCATTTCATTCTCCATATGTGATTCAGATAGCACTCCTTCAGACATGAAAGTATCAGCTACAATTAGCTCTTCTTTATCAATGCCTGGGCTCGTCACCCTTGTGTCTAATTCATCTCCTGGATGTGATTCAGTGACCAGTCGTTTAGAAATGCAAGCCTCAGACGCTACTATCAACTTTTCTTCATCCATACGGGTACTTGTCACATGTGCATTCGAAACAGGCTCTGTAATGTTACATAGATCAAACAATGCCATGCAGGAAGAGATTTTATCATTAAGTTAATCACATGTAACATAATAATGATTATGGTGAGTAAAATAGTACCTTCCAAGGAATCCAAGGTATCAGGTGCACAAAGATCATCCCCAGGAACACATAAAGTACCGTCTTGGATGCATTCGTCCCTATCTTTGCCATTTGCTGATGTTCTAAATTTACTATCTGGTGACCTATCAATCTGAATTTCTGTTAGAAATATAACTACTAACAGAAAAATAAAATAATGTAAACCAGAAGATAACAATCAGGTTGAACTAAATCTTATGAAAGCAGTTGAATGTGATAGTATTTAAAAGTACTATGGAAAACTTTGAAGATAATGACATATCTACCAATCGAATAGTTGATACTGCCTAATGTAAATTGTAGTCCTTACAATATTTCCCTGTATATTTAAGCCATTGACTGCATCGATGCATGCGTAAATTTCTGAACCAGCAAGTTTCCTTTCTTCAAGGGTCATGATCATTTCGTCCTTTTTACCATTCGAGTCATCACCAGATTGCAAGGTCAAGCCATTCACGGCTGACGATTTATAGTTTTTGTCTTGAACGATGGATATAAATGGTAAAGCTGTTGAAATAAGCTTGCAATTTTCAGGCTCCCCAGTAGAGCCAAAGGAAGAGGGAGACAGGGAACTCTGCCGCTCATGATTCTCCTTTACAGAATAACAAACGACCTCGGTACTGGACACAGGACGACCTCTACGGGGTCTTTTCAATCGAGAAACACTTGATGGAGTAACAGCTTTGGTTTTTGTCCTCTTAATTCTTTTCCCAGTCACCAGAGGCTTTTCCATGTCTGGTACTACTAGATCAGGACTTTTGCAAGCAAGCTGCAATTGATCATTGTGTTCTCCTCTAGCTAAATCGTTGCTCCGACTGGTACCAAAACACTCTGTTCAGCAGTTTCATTGACATTTGACTTAAGTTCTCGAAGCAGCCTCTGCACTGAAGGACTCTTGAACCCAAAAAACTGCAAAAGCACAAGAATAACTTGGTTTCAGAACATAAAGCATACCTTTTATTATCATTTCTATATGTTAGAATTTCAAGTCGACAAAACACAGAATCAGAAAGGAGAGATGATTAGCAGCATGTGGATCCACCAACCCAAAACACCATTACATTGTAGTTTTCAACTCAAATTGAATTGTGCTTATAGTCGCTATATCTGACGCAAGTACATCATTTGGTTTCAGCAATACTAGAGTTAGCAGCAATGAGCAGAATTAAATGATCACATATGCAAAGGCTAATAAGAAGCGGATATTCATTAATCATATGGGGCTGACTTTAGAAAATGGGCATAAAAAAGACATCTAGTAGTCAGTGAAGAAGTTGATTCATACTTTAAGCAATACACAAGCTGTAACAGAAGCGTCATCTCAAGCAGGAAAGCATGGTGAAGTTTTAGTACGAGAAATGACGAAGATTCACCTCTATGCCATCAACCTTGCCCGAAAGCCTTTTCTCATGCCAATTCTGCTTTTTTGGCAGCTCTTCTTCTGAAATTTATCCCAGGTAATATCTGGAGTATGAGCAGAGCAAGAATCTCCATCAGGAGAAGTGATCTGCAAAGGAACATTGCCACTTTTCAGTCATTGCAATAAAAATAGTGAACTTATGTCAACATCAGAAGGCCATGGTACAAACCATGAATAACGGCCCTTTAGGACCTTCACTGATTTCTAGCTTATACATGGCCCCGTTATATGTTCGACGAGCATGGTATCCCACCGATAAGGATAGCGAACTTTGCCCTGCCAAAATGAGGATAGATCTTAAGCAACTTCAATTTATTGAAGCAATTTGAAGGGAAGTGACTTAACACGTCCAACATGTACTTCAACATTTTGAAGATCAGCAGGTGCAGCTCACTTTTAGCATGAACAAGAACCATTTCCAGGGTCACTCATGTATAGTACTTCAGCATAAACACCACGTTTCTCTGAAGTAATTAGCAGCTGCTGTGAAGTTACCACAAACAAAACTGTAAAGCACTTCAGCTCTGTTCTCCTTCGTTGCCTTCACTCCACTAACCTCGCCCCTTTAATACTCTTCTCTCCGGTGACAATTTCCCATGTCAAGCTTATCAAAATATTTCACAGCGGTTCTAAATCCTCCACCATCTACGATAACTTAGGTTCTACGCGTCAATTTAAATCCAAACTCCACAAGGCTTACCAGAAGTTATCCGTTCAAACTACGATTGAATTTTCAGCATAAAAGGACGAAAATGACAATTGATATGATTCAAACTCCGAGTCAGAAACGAAATTCGAATTGGAGAGGACACCACGAAATTATCCGGGAAACGGAATTCGAATCATTACAAACTACAGAGAGATTACGCTATGAGAAGGAAGTGATGGAAGCGATGACTGATGAGGTTGGGAGGAGAGTTAAGAAATCAAACCCTAGAACTGCTCCAGTACTTCTTGTTCCAAGGTCCAGAGTAGGGAGTTCCGATAGAGACGATTTCCAGACCGTCTGGCCTCCCATCTCCGCCGCCTCCTTCATCTGTCCTCATTCGTTCGACGGACGACTGATTCTTGCAGCGGTAGAGACTGTAGCAGAACGGTGAGGGAATGACCTCCGTTCAATTTGGCGGGAGTTTGTCTCGAGCTCCCTCCACTTTTGATCTATGGGTTGCCGTCCGATAAATAGAAAACGACACGAGAGAGGAGGAAAACGCCCGTAGACGAGCGAAATTTTCAAATTAATTCGACAAAGTGCGAAAAAAAATGAATAAAAAATGAAAGCGCCGTTGCCGGGGATCGAACCCGGGTCACCCGCGTGACAGGCGGGAATACTTACCACTATACTACAACGACTTTTGTTAAAATTGGCACCCAAATATTAATAAAGTCTATAGTTTCTGAAAATGACACAGTACAAATTGTGGCATTATTTCGAGGTCATTTCATGGATAAAGGGTGTAACACCGATAAAGTTATTTGTGGGGATGGTTTGGAAGGAGGGTTTGGTTTTTAGGGGTGGTTTAGATTGGTGAATTGATAAATGAGGCAATTTAGTTAACTATCTATTTTGTAAAATGAATTTATATGAATTGTCTGTTCCAAAACATGAATTTAAATAATCTAAATAATCTTCGTTATCAATATATCCGATAATCTATTGAAAAGAACAAGAAATAAATGGTGTTCAGCAAACATACAAAACCCAAAAGTTGGCATACCAAAAGAAGAAGAAAAAAAATTATGATACTCATTTGGGATGACAGTAGAATGGAATGTATTTACCTTTGGGGGAAGTTGTGAAATCGACTTTTCACTGTCTACCCTCTCAATCTAATTAATCTCTAAACAAAACATTATATTTAGAATTGTACCTTGTTGTGAAATCGACTGTTGTGTCCCATTTCTCAGCATACATTGCATTTTATGGAACCTCCACTCTTCGATATTGATTTGTACTATCTTTCTTGCTTGTCTTTCTTTGTCTTCTCCAATTCCCATGCTTCCTTGCGTCTCTTTGTTTTTCTAGGACCCCTTTTCTTCTCTACAAACACCGGTGACCGAAGTTCAATACCGTCCTCATGAATCCATTGGTTGGAATCATTGCGAGGGTTGATTGGAAAAGAGTATGATCTCTTGCATGCCTCGACACGATAGCAATCAACCATGTATAGTTCTGGAAGTTCCTTGTTCATCTTCATGCATGCAATTGCATGTTGGCAAGGGATGCCACTCAACTGCCACCTACCACACGCGCATGTTCGGTTCCTCATATCCACCAGATACCTTCCTCTGTGCGACTGAACCTGGTACCCCATGTTCCCATTAAAGGATGGGAAGCAAACTGAAGCCCAACCATCGTACTTCTTCATTTTCATTATAGGCTTAGGGAAAATAAAAGTCTCATTCACCTCTAGTCGCTCCATTTGTCTTCTTCTCACAGCTACTCTCTTCAACACTTTTCCAAAGATGTCTTCCAAGCACGACAAAATTGGCATGTCTCTTGACTCAAGGATCCACTTGTTGAAGCTCTCGCAGTGATTGTTAACACCCATGTTACATTTGTTGGAATTTCTGTAGAATGCCTTGCACCATTGTGTTCGGTCCCTTTTCATGGGCCATTGATGGGGTGTTTCATCCCCATTCTTATATCCCTCGCCAACAGTGCTCAACTCCTCCATTAATGCCAAATATTCAGCCAAATAGGTTGCACTGGAAGTTTTATGGAAGAGATCCATCAACCTCTTCGACCTGCTAAACTTCCCACTAAAGTCGACAAACATATGTCTAACACAATATCGATGCTCAACATTAGGGTACATGTGGTTCATCACATTCATCAGACCCTACAAGGATATTATAATATCAAGTAAGAAACAAACATGTTCTAATTAGACTCTACTAATTCATGGAATGTGCAAAATGCATAAGAACCTACTAAAATGCATCAAACCATAATAATTCATGTAATTCAACTAATTCATTGTAAACCCCATAATAGTTAAAGATAAAAAAGCTTACCTTTTGTCCAAGTCTTCTCCCAAATGTGCCATGAACCATTCTCATGTATCATGGCACTCCTTCTCCACTATTGCCCATGCAACGGGGTACATGCAGTCATCCCCATCGATCCCCACAGTCGAAAGAAGATGCCATCTGGGCATAACTTTGAGAAAACAACCATCTACCCCCGATCACCTTCCGACAACCAGATTTGAACCCTTCTTTTAGCGACCCCAGACAGATGTAGATGCTCTCAAAGGTTAGTTGACTATGCTTAATCACCACTGAAGTACCAGGATTCATCAATTCCTACTCCTTATATGCATACAACTTTGCAAACTTGAGACTTTCTTCACCATGAACTGCTTTTAGAGCCAGCTGTTTGGTTCTGTAAGCCTTCATCCAATTAATCTTCAAGCTTAAATCACTCATGACTGTATTGACCAAGAAGGATACACCCTAAACTTGGTCAAGTACTTCTTCACTAGAAAAGAGGGTGCAGTAGCCCTTAGGTCTTCATCAACACCACAAGTATGCTCAAGATTCTTAATCCTAATTTGCATAGTATCACAATCCTTCACCTTTGCAGCATACAGTTTGAACCCACAGCCGCGTTGAAACACACAAATCACACGCTTCTTGTCATTGGTTGGAAACCTCACATCCCTTCTTTGAGTCACAGCATTCGACTTGCAAGCATTTTTGAACTCAACAAATGATGCAAATAGCTGGCCGATCTTGATCTCAGGAACCTCCATATCCCTTTCAGCCTGAAACTCTGGGAAGATAGTGTTTATATTAAAAACATCTTCGTCTTCTTCGCTGCCCCATACACTCTTCTCTATCAGCTCAAACTCACTTGCATACTCATCCTCCCTCTCCAATACATCCTCATCTACAATAGCTTCATAAACATAAGGTGCAGCTGGAGGCCCGCTATGACTTGACCCTGTGGCTTTGTGACCCTCCTCGTCTTCTTTGAACGCACCCAGAAGACAACCTGATTACTTCCTCCTCCCTTCTCCCACTATGAACCATGTGCACTGTATCTAGGCTACCACAAGAGGAATCAGTGTGTTTGACATAGATCTGGATAATCTTGTCATCAGGAACGCACCATCCCATATCTACTACATCATTGTCATTCTCCAACAGTTTCAATCCATTATGCAAATCGATACCAAGCATCCTCCAAAAAAACTACATAGCCTGCTCCACCTTAGCTACTTTTGCCATCTCCTTCACTTCAATCATTGAAAATTTGTCAACATCGATGTAGTCAATGTAATCCCCTTTGTCATTAATGTACCCCTTTTTATCTAGTTGACCCATACTATGGATTTCAATGGTGAAAAATCTGAAGTTCCTACAAACAAAAACAATTGGAAGCTTTTACTTTCTCTGTCCCCTGATCCGAAACATCTGAATGGGGATCATTTCTTTCAATCGACAAAAATGGAACTTTACACTTTCGACAACATTAGAATAATATACTGGGGCCAAATTGGGGACCATTCATCTGTAATTTCCGACAACAATTTCATTTCTTTGTACCTACATTCACCTTCAAAGTGGTCCACCACGTTCTAAAACCCTCAAACTCCCAAATCTATATAAATGAATTTACTCACCATAATCCGACATCAATGTCGATCTCCCTATGCTCGTAGCCTCCACTAGTCCATTATTGATTGGTTGGAGAAGAGAATGTATGACAATCGACTGGGACGAGTATGCAGCGCCGGACTTAGGGTGAGGGCTAATGGTATTCATGGATGCAACATGTAATTTCCAGGAGCTGCGATTTTGGAAGGAGGAGTTGGAAGGCAGAGATGGTGGGTAGAAGACGACGAAGAGCAGAGGTAGCCGCGTCGCACCTCCTCCACGAAGCCAAGAAAAGAGACAAGTATGTCTCTAACATGAGGGTCGAGGGTCATTAGGTATAGTGCGGGGGTCGGGTGGGGTTGAGTTGGTTTTGGAGTTGGTTCGGTTAGGGTATGCTGGTTGGTTTTGTCATTTTTTTATTCATTTATGTGTTGACGTGGTGTGCTGATTGTACCCATTTGACAAAATTTTGGATGGAATTGGACGAAATGACAGAATTGTTACTCGTCCAAATGTGTTTTTACTGAAACGTGAAAATTGAAGTTTAGTGACTGTTTTGTACAAAGTGACTAGTTGTGTGACCGTTTATGCTAAATATCCCTGTTCCTACTTCAAAAAATTGTAATTGTCTTAAAATGAGGTAATTTGAAATTTTCCATGTCAAATTGCTTCATCCAAACTTATGCTGTCAAATAGATCAATTTGGCAAGATTGTCTGATTCGGGGCCTAATTGTACACTTTTTATCCCCGTTTCTCTTTGGCGTTTGTGGCATTTGAGCTCCTAAAAGGGTGGTTTTATGCTTGGTTTCTTGTGTTTCAATGTGTTTCAGAGTCTAACAGGTGAAACCAACCCCGAAGTCGAAAGTTGGAAGAAAAGGCGCAAAGACCGGGAAAAGAGGAGGATCCCGCCGCAGTTCGTGGTCAGAGCTTGGAGTTCAACGTCGCTAGGACCGTGAACTGTAACCACAAAACATGAACCGTAGAGTGTCCAGAGGAGTTTCAGAGGTTAATGACGCCTTATGATATTGGAGCCTTGGACCTTGAACTCCATAAGTGAAGCGACGCGTTTTGACATGTGTTCACGGTCCCACCTTGATGTTCGTGACCGTGAACTGGGACCGTGAACTGGGCGCGATCTGTGTATAAATTGAGAGCTGAAAGGAAGAAGAAGGGAGAGTCCAAAGTGAGAGAAACCTTCTTCTTCTTGAAACCCTAGAGAGAAAGCACGAACCAAGAGGGAGAAGAGGCTAGGGTTTGCTCCAAGTGAAGATTTTGGAAGTTCCTCTTCAAGAGAGGATCTCTACAAGCACAAGGGGAGTTTGAGGCATCACAATGGTTTCTTTCTTCTTCTTTTGTGTTCTTCCTTTGTCTAGCATGGAGTAGTTTCCCTTTTCACTTGGGTGTTGTTGAACCCTAACTTTTACCATGTAATTGATTGTGTGATGGTGGTGTTTAATTTAAGAATTTGAGGTATTTTTCAATGTGATTGTGCATTGTGTGTGTTTGGCAATCTATTATGCTATTCTAACTTAGCTTAGAGAGAATCCCCCTTATCTTAAGAGGCTC